AATTCCGGACATGTTCCCTGACCTGGGGGGGCATGGGACTCTGCAGTGGTAACTTTCTCCGCTGGAGTCACTGTACGTTCTAACCAAGGGAGCCGTCTCCACGAGTCTTCCCAGTCCAAACAAGTGATGACAACCGACATCCGAGACATGCTCCATGGTTGAAGGCAGCATGGTTGGTTGCTGTCGTTTGTTTGGGACTGGATGATTGGTGTTTTTGTTGTCCTTTCGTTGGATCGAAAAGGCGGTTCCTGCGTTGATGATGACCGACTGACGGGTGCCGTTTCCCGTCAGGCCAAGGCACATTTCCCGAAAATCAGGGTACAATGCCAACGACCGGCCCGGGTGTTCCGTGACGCGGCGGAGTGAACGTGGGCGTCGACGACTCAGCTAGATCCATTTCACGCTGATTCGAAGGATGCACTCTAAGTCGCTTCTTGACCAGCGTAGACACATACTTCGAAGTACAAAGCAATCCATTGACAGTGACGAGAGGCCCATCGTTGCAGGAGGCCCACGTGCGAAACCTTCTCGTCGTTCAGATCCCCCCCCCCTCTCTCTTCATAGCTGATTGTTTTCGATTGCGTTGTGTAGATCGTGTTCGACGACAACGAACGCCAGAAGAAGACGTACATATCGACATATTGGGGGCGAGGATCCGTACGATTCCGTAGCGTGACCTGTTCATCCGTAAATCCATGTTCGTTTTGATAAACAAGGTCTCGCCGACATAGATAGATTCTACTAGGTGCTTATGCAGTGCTGGAGGTCCCACGCAATGACTGGAGGACGCCGTGCCTTGCTTTGAAGCAACAACCACACGTCTGGTTCCTCATCTGCAATGTAGCCTGTAATGATCATGTTCTGGGGTATCTAGGGGTTCCCTAGTTGAAAATTGGGGTTACAGTCAGCACTGTCCCGAAACGAACATCCAAAGAAATCTACAGAGATGCGTTTTGTGTCGCTACTGAAAGCGGATGCAACAACCATGGATGAGATGCAAAGAGGGCAAAAATCACAAAAGGGTGTACCCTAGTCAGCAGGCAACCCAGGATACATGGTTCTAGTAGGCGTGAAAGGATCCCAGCTGATTCCTCGACGCCGACGGTCACCTTGCCATGTCACAGAAAGACCTGGCCGCTTATTTGAAGTGTACACTGGTTTTCGGAAATGTATCCTGACCTGAGGGGAAATGGAACCCTTCAGTTGGCTGAAATTTCTCCGCGGGAGTCACTGTACGTTCCAACCAAGGGAGCCGTAACCAAGAGTCTTCCAATTCCAAACAAATGATGTCAACAGACATCCGAGACATGCTCCATGGTTGAAGGCAGCATGGTTGGTTGCTGTCAGTTGTTTGGGACTGGGAGTTTGGTGTACTTGGTGTCCTTTCGTTGGAGCGGAAGGTGGTTTCTGCGTTGAGAATGGCCGACTGATGGGTGGGTGCTATTTCCCGTCAGGTCCGGGCACATTCCTGAGAACCAGCGCACAGTTCCAACGAGCGGCCCGGGTTTTCTGTGACGCGACGGGGTGAACGTGGGTGCTGACGACTCAGCTAGATCTATCTCACGCTGATTCGAAGCATGCACTCTGAGTCGCTTCTTGACCAGGGCAAACCAATACGTCCCCAATATTGCTGTACCAGTTGTTCGAAGCATTTCCATCAGGTTTCCATCAGCTCCCGACCCTCGCGGGATTTGCATGCGTTTCTTCATCTAGCTCGTTGCCTCTCTTTCTCCATCCCAGGGAACTCCATTGACATTGACGAGAGGCCCACCGCTGCCGCGGCTTCTCTTGCAACACTCTCTCGTCCTTCAATCTCGCCCCCCCCACCTCTCTTCATAGATGATTGCTTCCGATTGTGTTGTGTAGATCGTGTTGGACGACAGCGAACGCCAGAAGAAGACATGCATATCGGCATTTTGGGGGCGCGATGCACCTGTTTGATAAGACCTCGTGAGGTGCCTCTTTATGGTGTCGGCTTCCGCATGATCTTCGTTCTCTCGTGCAACGGAAGTGCGAGATGTGACACAAGGATTGCTTTCGTCGGTGTTTTCTTGTTGATCCCCGCTGTCACGAGATGGGACTGCCCGAACGGAGCATCGACAGCCGTGCGTGCGGTCAGCCTCATAGCACGTGCCCCCTGTGGTTTGGTGGGGTCAGTGACGGGCTCCAATACAGTTTTGTTGATATCACGCTTGTTGTATCCTACGTCCGTTATTTGAGTGCGTGGCGGAACTGGAATTCGGAGGCCTGTGTAGGGTCACGACGAGGACGACAGCGATTCGTATAGCCTGACCTGTTCATCTGGAAATCCATGTTCGTTCTGATAAGCAAGTGATTCGCCGAAATGCGTATATGAGGAAACTCTCCTATACACGCCCGCTTTCGAGAATTGGCTTGGTCGCTAGGCAAGACATGATATGTTGTTGTTGTTGTGGTCTTCAGATTAAACTCGTGTCAGTTGCTAATCCCAAACTCTAGCAATGACGCGGTCCGTGGTAACAAAAATGCTGGAGTCATCAGAAGATCTAAAAACACGCAAACTAGCAAGAAAAGGGTACACAAGCCCGACGAGGTACACCTACATCCCTGCAGCACGTTTGCGTGCCAAAACCTGAACTACCCGTCCACACACTTCATTCGACTACAGCAGCATCATCCCCCCTGTCCCACACTTTAATACCAAAGTGAAGGTTTGTCGACTACAGCGTACAGCTGTCTGGAATACTTCCTGTACAATACCACCATGGTAGGCATGGTAAAAGTTCGGGGCGCGCAGCTGCTGTTTGAAGTGCTGTCAGAATGCGTCCGTGGACATACAGTGAAAAAGGACAACCAACCAAAGCCATCATTGCAATTGACAATCACCGAATCTACTCCCGATCATCTGTGTTTGACACAGTAGTGTAAATATTCGACACTGAATAGGAATCGTTCCACATTGAAGAGGTCTTCCACGATGCAGGTACACAATGAAGGCACCCGGGGTATCCGCGCCATCTCTGCCGCGTCTCTCTACAAAACCAGTGACGTCCTCACACGCACCCAACACGATGTTCAGGAAAAAACGGAAAATACTTGACACAACAAACTGTTCGTCCGTGCGTCACGGTTCGATGTCGTCCGTGTGCTCCGGTGCCACTGCTCCGTCACCGCTGCTCCGGTATCGCTGCGGCCAGTCCTAGCACGACCAAACTCGACCCGCTCCATCCATACACGCTCTCGTTGCTGTCCTTCCCAGTCGGTTCCTCGCTTTCTCCCTCGTTGCCCTTAGGGTTCTCGGTCTGAAAATTCTCGCGCCGAAGGGTCAACCAGCCCACTCAGCTCGTCAACACCTGTTCCCTCCTTCCCTTTGATGGCGAAGTCAGATTACTGAGACAATACAGCTCCCTCTAGCAAACTTAGGGCGGTGAACGTAGTGTCCGTCCACCTTTCTGATGACGTCTGCCTCCGCGCACAAAACTGAGATGGACATTTGCTGTCTACACCGTCGGCCATGAGGCCCGCGCATCTGCACTTTTGTACCTGACGCACCAGTGCTGACCCAACTCTACCACTACGCACGCCTCGCTGCGGGTGCGCCGCTGCAAGAAGGTATCGGTCCCTTGAGGGTGAGTCTAGCCATGCTCGCTAGAAAGACCCCCCCCCTCGCCCCCGGTGTTTGCCATCGGGGTTGGGTTTTCGTCGCTTGGCAACGACGTTGTAAAACAAGCCGCCCCCCCTGTGTTTGCCATCGGGGTTGGGTTTTCGTCGCATGGCAACGACGTCGTAAAACAAGCCACCCCCCC